CCTTCCTCTCTGTCCTTCTGGCCCTATGCATTCAACCCATCTCAAATTCTGTTTTATCTGAGATAGAGTGCCAATCCCTAAAAGTTGGATATCTACCTCTTGAAGAGGCCAATTTGGATACCATGATTTTGGTGTAATTATAGTCACATCTTCACCTGTGACTACCAGGCCCTCCAGAACCAGGGCATTAATTCGAATTCTAAGCTTTGGTCTTTGTTCAATTATGGAAGTCTGCCAAAATATTTGTTTTATAGTGTTCTTTGTAAACTGTGATCCATCTATCAAAGCTGTTTTATTATCCATTGCAGTATCAGTTTTTACATTAGGCATTGGTTTATTCAGTTGTCCTGGAGAGGAATTTCTTTCACAGTGGCTAGGAATGTTTGTACTACATTTGGTTTGGGGGCCTGCAAGAGATCTCCTGAGACGTTTCCCGCCAGTAAAGGGTTGCCTTGTATATCTATTTTTGATCTGCACTCACTGGTCCAATGTCGGCCTTTGCCCCATCTTCTACATAATCCAGGAGGTGATTGGGGACTCCTGTTTAGGCTATTCCTAGGAGTATTACTTCTAGGAGTACCCCATGTAAAATTTTTACTTATATGACCTGGTGTACCACATTTAAAACATTTGGTACTATGGGGCCTTCTTCAACTCTGGGATTTGTCTCTCCTATCCAAGCCTCATTACTGTAGTTAAGAGACTGAACACCATTAGTATATTGAATCCATTCTTCCAAAGGAGCTGAACTGATCTTTAATGGTGTAAGTATTCTTTTGCATTTTGCATTAGCATTGTCAAACACCAAGGACTCAGTTAATACTTTTCTTAATTCTTTGTCTGACACAGCTCTTGTTATATCTGTGTTCAGTCTTTGTAAAAAATCAGTGAAGGGTTCGTGTGGGCCCTGAAATATCTTTGTGTATACTTCAGTTGGTTTTCCAGGTTCTGGAATTTTTTCCCAAGCGTTTAGAGCTTCTGTACGGCATAGGGATATTGTATGCTCATCATAAGTGGCTTGTACATTCCTGTCAGC